GGGGGGGGGGGGGGAAGACGGCGTGCGGACGGACGGACGAAGGAGGGGAGCATGGAGGCCGGTCCCTGTGGTCGAGTCCGCGGCGGGGGCATTTCTCTCCGCCGGGCCGTGTCGGCAGATCATCCCCCCTCCCCTCTGGCAGGCCTGTCGGGGGCTGCGACGAGTGGGCACCCACACGCGGGAGTTGGGCGCTCGCCATGGGTTGGCACTTGGCCGAGGTATCATTAGCCGAGGGGTTGCACGATGTTGTGGCCCCGGCCTCGGGCGTGGCGGGGCGCTGGGGCGCCGGGGGCGGCACCGCACGACGCCCGCCACGGGGGAGACCGGGCGCGCGCCCCCCCCCGCCCCCCCCCCCTGGGGGCCGGGCCGGCCAGGTTGATGCCTGGGCTCCCGGCAGGGGCACCGCAGATGTCTGTCACATCGCTGGACGTACACGCACGCGCGCGCACACACATTCACACCCCCGAGAGGGGAGGGGGGGGGGGCGCACGCGGGGGAGGGGCCCGTTATGTGCAGCCGGCGCCGGGGAGCGCATGTGCACGCGCTGGCCCTGGCCCGGGCCGGGAATGCGCGCTCCGTCCCCCCCCCCCCCCCCCCCCGGGCAAGGCGCCCGCCGGGGTGCCGAGAAATGCGCCGATCGGGCGAAAGGTACCCTTCTCGTGGGCCAGTCCGGGCGGGGGGGGCCGGGGGCGCGCGGCGGGACCTCGTCGTCTCGCCCGGGGCCCCGTCCTGTGGGATGTTGTCGCACGGCGAGGGGCCCGCCCCGGCGCCGTGTGGTTGGTGCCGGCCCCGGGCCTCGGGGTTGCCCGCGCATTCCGTTTGGGTAGATGGGCCGCCGGTGCCCGCCGCCCAGGCAGCCGGCGCGCCCGCGCGCCCGCGACGGGTGGCCCCTCGTCACTTGCCTGCACATGCGTCCTGAGGCTCGACAGACGGTGGACGGGCCTCCCCGCGGATGGCCTTCGCTCTGCCTCTCTCTCCCACGCTCTCTCCCACGCTCTCTGGCCCTCTCCGCCTCTCTCCGCCTCTTTTTGTCTCTCTCTCTCTCACGCTCTCTCCCACGTTCTCTGTCTCTCTTTCTCGTTCTCGCTCTGACTCTCTCGCTCTGACTCTCTCGCTCTCACTCTCTCTGATCCCCTGGCACACACACACACACACACACACACACACACACACGCACGCACGCGCGCGCCTCTGGTCGGCACCATTGGCGGCCGCGGGCACGGGCATGCCTGGCTGGCCTCCCCCTCCCGCTCCAGCACCACCGGCCCCGGCGCAACGGATGCCCGGCCCGAGGCACGACGACCGGCCCGGGCACCCGGTGGGCCGGCGTCGCGTCCGCTGGGCCTCGGCCCTCGCAGGACGCCGCACAGCCAGCCCCCCCGCCGCAAGGACGGCCCCTCCCCCTCCGGCCGATGCCGACAAGCGCCCATGCGCCCCCGGGCCACCGGGAATGGAAGGCAACCGGCGCCGTGCCGGCGGCCATGCCCACGACGGCGGCCCGCCGGGTGCGGGCCCGGCACCATGACCCGCGGCACCCGGACACCGGCGAGGTGGCCCGGCGGGTGCTCTTTCCCCGGGTCGAAGGGGCGCCGGCCGACCTTGCCCCGCGCCAGCACCCAGGACCCGGCGCCGGTGTGGGCGCCGGCGGCCGTGCATCCGGCGGGGGGGGGGGGGGGGGGGGCGCATGCCGGGCCACGCCCGGGCAGCGACATTGGGCCAGGTCACCACCCAGCCGAGGCCGAGATCAGGGCCCTTGGCGCGTGCCGGTGCCTGGCGGACATGCGGCGCCTGGCCTCGCCCCTCCCGGGGGTCGGATGGCCGAGCCCACTGCGCGCCGGCACCGGGCCCGGGACCGAGCCGGGCCGCACACGCGTGCCCCGGGTCCCACATTCGTGGCTCCGGCCCGGGCCCGCATCCGCCACGGCCCGGCGGGGGAGCCCGCTCCCGGAGCCACCTCCCCGGCGCCGGGCCGGAGCCACCTCCCGGCGCCTGCCCCTCACGAGCACCACACCCGGCTCCGACGGCGACTGGGCCCGTGCCGCGCCACAGCAGCACACTTGGCCGACCGCCCCCCGCCTCCCCGGCCACAACGCCACACCCGGCCGGGCCCGAGGGGTCTGGCGTGCATGCGCGCTGTCGGTCCCGCACCAGGGCCTTCCGAAGTCGCGGGGCCGGACCCCGGCGCAGATCCGCCCGCGACATGTGCCGGCCCTTGCCGGGCACGCCCCCTCGGGCACCGGGCCTGCCGGAGGGCCACACCTCCCCCCCCCCCCCCCCCCGGGGGGGGGGACCACTGGGCGTGCTGCATGGCGCAATGTGACGCCGGCCACCGTGCCAGGGCAATGTTCTGGCGCCGGGTCTCGCCTGTGGCCCGCCCTGCGGCGGGGCCTGTGACGCCCCATTGGCGCCTGGGCCCCTGCCCTCCAGCGTGCCGCCGGTCGGCCGGCTCCCGGTGGCCGCGTGCCTGCGCGGCACACTGGCGCCCCCGCGCCTCGCCCCCCCCCCTCTTGGCGCGGCCGGCTCTTCGTCGGGACATCGCTCATCGGCCCAGAGCACGGCTCTGGCACACCTGCCCGCGCGCCGGTGTGTCCCACTGCTCGGCCGGCCGGGCGCATGCCCGTGCCGATACAAGCGCCCGCCTGACACCTCCCGGCGCCAAGGGTCCTGATCTCGCCCTCGGCCGTGACAAGATCGCCCGAGCATCTGCTGCCTGGCCAGGGGGGGGGCCAGCGCGCAGCCAACCGGCAGGCGGCTGTCCCAGGCCCCGGGCGCAGGGCCGCCGCCGGCGGAGCCGGGAGCCCTGCCGCCGGCGCCCCGGCGACATCCCCCACAAGGGTAGCATGGCCGTGGCATGGCCACCGGGCTGCCGGTACTGCCCCCCCCTCCCCCCCAGCCAGCACGGCAGGCTGTCGCGGGCCGATGCCTCGCGGCCTGGGGCCGTGGGACATCGCGCCGCGGCTCGACCCCCGGCGCGCTGAGCCCCCCCCCCCCCTATGGGCGGCGAGCAGCCCGTCGCCGCCGGCCGCTTCCGACGGTGGCCGCCGCTCTGAAACGCGGCTGCTCACCTCGGCCGAGCTCCCGCACCCGGCGATTGGCCGGCATCAAGACGCCCGCTCCCCCGGGGGGAGGGCCCGGGCGCGGCAAAAAAGGTATGTCCGAACCAGGACTCGAACCTGGGACATTCTGTGTGTTAGACAGATATGATAACCATCTACATCATTCGGACGCGGCGGATGGGACCCGGCCG